ATCCACCTCTCCATCCTCTTTCTCTTAGTTTAAATAAACTAATTTGGTTGGAGAAAAATAGTGTCCCTCAGTTCTGAGTTCACAGAGCCCTCCAAGGATGTGCTGACACAGACCCCAGTGGGACCAGGAGAGGAGAACTCTGATTCTCAAGGACTTGGCTCAGAAGTTGGTGTGGAATGACAGTAAGTATGACAGACTGTGAGCAGCTTTCAAATCACAAAAGCTGAACACCATCTTAAGGGAGTGGAAGCATTGACACCACTGGTTTATCTCTGAAATGAGTCTAACAGGGCAGATGCACTTCAATGTCTGTAACAAAGTCTCCAGTCTGGCTTTTAAACCACGGGCATTCAGAATAATTGATGGTTTTAAAAATGACTAATAATGAATCACATTTCTATAATCCCTCTAAAAGGATTTCCAGGCATCAGAAAGAGAGCAGATGCCATACCTTTATCAATCTCTGTGAGTATCTACTAATCGCTCACTATGCCCTCCTATCTAGCCTTCTAAACAGTATAAAAGATTTTTTAAAAAAAATACTCTAGTTCTGTGAAGTTTTGGGAGCTACAACTGTGTCAATGTGCAGGTTTGTGGAGTTGGACATAAAGGAACATTGAAAAATAAACTGAAGATTAGGTAAAGAATCAAATGGAGTGATGAAGCTTAGGCAGAGGGAAGGGTGTGTGTGGACTCGAGGCACCGACAGAAGCCTTTCATTTTGGCAGATGAATATATATGAGCTATAACACGGATACATTTCTTACTGTGTCTTCACATCTCCACAGACTTTATCTATGGTCAAATAACCATACCTGAAGAAACCTTTGTAAAATGTTACCACAGTTACAGTGTCTATTAATGGGCAACATCAATCATTGGGTGTCAGAACAAATCTCTTTTCACACAATGCACATAAAAGTTCTTGTATCAGTTTCCCTTACTTTAAATTGCATCATGTATCCTGGCTGTATAATGAGCTCGCGTGAGGAGAGAGCATTGTGGGTCTTGTCCTTCTTTTTATTTGGCCAGTAGAGGTGGAAGGATGGATTGCCACAGAATCCTGCTGTCCTTACTGCATTAGGGTAAAAACTCCAGTTTTCTTCATGGGAGGAGCCTTCTGTTAAGTAAGTGGGAAACAATGCCTTACATTATTTTCTTCAACTCAGATGTTCAATGTTAAATTGCTTTCATGTTTGCTACCAACGCTTGCTTTTATTTTACATAACTGTTTTAATATATAAATCCCAGGGGAGAGCTCTAGCTTAGGGCAATGGCTGCTAGAATGATCGATCACTTTGCTATAAAAGGGAAACTGTTTTTCTGGATGGAACTCTGCTTTTTCCTAGGCATCTGCAATACATGTTCTATGGAACAGAAATTACTAAAAGGACTAAAATATTCTGGGCAGGCATCTGCAATACATGTTCTATGGAACAGAAATTACTAAAAAGACTAAAATATTCTGGGCATTGTGATTATGAATTATAATAAAAACACTTTTTATTTAGTGATGTTCTTTAAGTTCTCAATTGACAGTTCAGCAAGTGATGAACTTTGAAGAGTTATCAACCATGGAGCCCAAGAACAGCTCATAGCAGTTGAGCAGCATGAACTAGACTCCACAAGGTGCTGGCTATGGAATACTTATCTGATGCCTCCACCCACAGTGGACAGAGAGAATGCTGTTTGAAGCTCTCTTCTTACCGTCATCGAAAGTGTCTACCAGTTGGCTTGGATTGATTTCTGCTCCACCAATCAGAATGTTGTCCAGCGCCCACTGCGCACGCTCCACCCCGGAAACCACGAGTCCATTGCTGATCACAAAAGGCTGCCACCAGCGAAGTCGAGTTGTGTTGGTGAGGGCCCCCTCAGGCAGGAGGATGTAGTCGTGCCTCACTGAAATGTATTTCTGGAAATCCATCTCATGAAGCAGAGTCCAAGTGATTCCTATAAAAACAAAGTTATCAGCTCCCTAGCACCGGGAAAACAAATCACAAACCAGCAGCAATCGCAAGTTCTATATGTTTCCTAAGAAAATGTTTACCCATTCAGTGAAAACTGAATCTAGGGACTTTAAGTGTCGACATTTATTCTCATGGCTTCAATACAAAGCTGATCATAATGTGAGGGTATTTAGACATAGTTGGTCAAAGTAAACATATTGAAGTAAAATTTACATATTCGTAATTTTAATTATTTTTAAAATTAATTTTAATTAATTAATTTTTATTTTAATTTAAATTCATCTCTAGATTCTTAAGAGGCTTTTTTTTCCCAAGAAGAACATATGCTTGCTTCTAGACCAGTTGGTTCTAGATTTAAAAATACAGCTATCAGAATTCTATACAATTTGTAATTTATATTTGAAATGATATTGCTTGATAGGAATGGGAAAAATGTTTACAACACACAACTATGCTGAGACAGTTCTGGGTCATCTATTAGCTAGTTATTCAGAATGTTATCTGGCTGCTAAAACATATTTTCTTCTGAACAAAATCTTTTTAGCTGTTTTCTATTAGAGTTGGTTTTATATCAATAATCTTGTTAAATTACTTTACTTGTAAAGATTAACTTATTTTTATTTTGTGTGTATGAGTGTTTTGCTTACATGTATGAATGTTCACCTCTTGGGTGCCTGATGCCTACTGAGGCTACAAGAGACTCCTCAGCCCTGGAGCTACAGATGACCGTGAGCCACCGTGGGTGCTGGGGATGAAACCTTGGTCCTCAGGCAACCCTGAGCCATCTCTCCAGCCCTTAAAGCATTTTATTCTGAATATTTCATTATGTTAATCGATTGATAGTTATATATGAATTGTGTGAATTATATTAATAATAATATACAATAATACAACAGAATTTTATTAACATAGTTTCATGAATTCAGGATATTTTTATAATTGGTGAGGTTTTCCTTGTAGAGTCCCTATGGTATTTATGTTATTGACACAACAGTATTTTGGAATATTTTTGTTTTGCTTTGTTTTTTGAGACAGGATCTTACTATGTACTTCTGGCTGTTCTAGAACTCACTATGTCGACCAGGTTGACCCTGAACTCACACACCTCTATCTGCTTCTGCCTTCCAAGGACTGGAATTCAAGGTGTATACAACTTTGCTGGTCCTAAGATTCTTTTGAAATCATATTTTACTCAGAAAACCATTCAAAATTTGTTTTTTTCATGCTCTTACAAAAAAAATCTATTTAAAAAGAGGACATGAAGTTGGGAGAGAGATGTGTGAGAGAACCTGGGGGGAGCTGGAGGGGCAGAAAGTGGGTTGTGGATATGATAAAGATACGCTATATACATGAGTTTCAAAGAGTACATAAAAATATAAATTCTATTAAAATCCTTTTCTTTTTAATGGGATCCATCCCTCCCTCCCTCCCTCCCTCCCTCCCTCCCTCCCTCCCTCCCTCCCTCTCGTTCTCTCTCTAATGGTGGGGGTTAGATTTTGCCTAAAAGCAGTCCCATGAATAGGACATGTAACGCAAGCCAGAGCTGTTGCTTTCTTTGACGTCTTCGTGCTTGTCACTGTCAGCAAAGTTTGGTTTCTGAGGGCGTTGTATGGATGTGGGATGAGCTACCAGACACAGCTGCCACCCACAGAACTTGCCTCCATCCTTAGAGTAATCCAGCAGCACGCCTTCCTTCCGGCAGACTGGCCGATGGCAAGATGTCATGTTGCTCTCACTGCCAATACGTCCCCAGTACTGCAGGAATCTAAATGCAAGCACACATTCTCTCTCAGAATGACGGACCAAAGCAAAGACATCACTCAGGTCCCGAGAGTCCTGAGTAACAACTGGTGTCAACTGTGCTACCATGGCAGACATATGAGAAAAATATGACTTACTTTGCCCCTCTGAGATCTAAATCTTGAGTAATAGCTTGTCTCACAGTGGACCCCCCAAAATAGAGTGCAGTGTTCTCGGCAAGGATCCCACATTCTGTACAAGTGCTTCCACCTTCTAAGGACATCCATAAGTCAGGCTTGATCTCTTCACTGTCAAAGCGCTCCTTCAGGAAAGTCTGTGAGGGAGGAGGAGGTCCAGGAATGCAGTTAAAGATGATGATTTCAAGTAGAAATGATGGTACTTTACCCAACAAAGTTGCTTGGACTTAAAAATAATCGAACTGATTTCAGTGTTTTTGCAAAGATATGTTTGAAAGACAATAGATTATGCTCATAACTTTACTTTCTACCATATACTGAAGATAATTTAAACTGCTTAAAGGAAAAGTAATAATTAGGCTTTTAGTTTTTAAGATATAAAAATGTAAACTAACACACATCAAAGTGCAGATTCAAGGTCAAAGTATCAGTATTTTTAAAATATAATCTTAATAAATGTAAAATCAGAGTAACTTAAATAATGGCTAGAATCAGGAGACAATCTTTCTTCTGTTCAAAGAAATAACATAATTCAGCTATTCTTGAAACATAATAACTAAAACCAAACAGATAAATACTATTTTTTATAGACCTTATCCCAGAAAATTTGTATTATTCACAGAAGGGAAGTGATATAATTTTATCTTATGTTTAGGGGACATAGACTTGCAATTACAGTAAAAAACAGTTTCCATATACTTCTATACATTTCCCCAGTTCTATAAGAGAGTTCTATACTGTGTGGTTAAATGATTTAAATAAGTCTCATTTCTTCACACATGGAACACAATCAACCTTGTAATTAAAGGCATGCAAACACAAGTCCATCTGACTTTACTTCACTAATGGTGAGAAGATAAGTACAATTTTTTATAAATGAATGTTCGTATGTAAGAACATGAGCTGGAAGAACACGTGGCTAACTACACATGCTCTCATTAGAAGACTGAATTAGAGTTCACAATGCAGGCTCATAGAATTGCTTATCTAATGACACTAATGATGTCTGAATGTTCTCAGGCCTTTTCTTTAGACACAAATGAGCAATAGCTTCAAATTTTATTTTCAGTATTTGCTAGGCTTCAATTATGTGTACTTTTTTTTTTTTTGAGATAGGACTTCCTATTCAGGCTGCCCTGGAACTCACCGTATAGTCCAGGATTCCAGGTAGGAGCTATGATCTCTGGCAGTTGTACTGTTTTAGCTGGAACATTTTTCTACTATTGAAATGATGTATGTCTTTGTTTATTTACAGAAACAAAACTTATGTGTGGTATCTGTGTTAAGAAGCTAAATATTGACTTTACATATTGAACAACTAATGCATCAAAAATGACTCAGTCACATTTCAGTAGTTAATAAGTTAGACCATAGAATTTTCTGGAAAAATGTTAGAGCAGTGTTGCAGCATGTTTGAACATTCAGTTTTGGAGGGCTATCAGTAATATTTGCTTCATTTGATAGGAATAATAGTGTCATCCTCCGTTGTACCAATTGTGAAAGTAAGATCTTTTTTAAAGGCAAATATTGGCTTTAAACTGAGTGTTTTTTGTTTTTTAAAGAAAAAGCTGAACATAATAGCACATACCTTTAATTCCAGCATTCAAGAAACAGAGTCTTGGGCATATCTATAAGTTTGAAGTCATTCTGGTGTGTGTACACAGGGCTACATAGTGAAACAGACAAGGGAGGAAATGTAGGAGGGAAAGGTGGAGACAGACAAGCAGGGACAGAGACACAAAACCTTGCTACAGATTCTCATGTACAAAAACTGGTCATGGACTGGCCTGTAAGGGAGCAGCTCAACAGTACCTTCAGGGTGTGAGTTAAGTAGCAGTTTGGTCCTGAGTATCCTGGGTCACAGATGCACTGTTCCTTTAGGCAGTCTCCATGACCTCCACAGTTGTCCAGACATCCAGGGCCAAGGTAGAAATTGTCAATTGCCCACTGCACATCTGAGTACTTTTGGTAGAATCTAAATCTTACAGGACTTTTGGCAAAAACAAAGGAATGAAAAACAAAAGTTAACTTTATTCAGAGTCACTGTACACACACACACACACACTCAGTGCTCACAAGAAAAAAAATTGCAGTTATCTCTGTGGATGAATTGAGTTAATAAAATGTATTCTGACCACTTCCAACTTCCAGTTCTAGTAACGGAACTGTGTAGCTGCTTTCAGCACAATTCTGTAGAAATTTGCAAAACAAATAAAAATCAGTTGGAACTGTTTCAAACACAAGATTATCTTATAGTGGAATCTAGAATCATAAGTCAGATTCCTTTTTCTTGTTTTTAAAATTAAATTTTAGGGTTGTATACAAAGTGCCCGACCCATGCGCCTTACATTTTTTTATTTTATTTTGTTTGTATGCATTCCAATTCATTTTCTTCCCCAGCCCTACTCCCCTATGCTCTTGTCCCTTTAGCTGGTTCCTCTCCCCCATGCTCTCTCCTCCCTCTGGGTGGTTCCCCACCCCCATGCTCTTTCTCTCCTCTGGTTGGTTCCCCACTCCCAAGATCTTCCTCCTCTGGCTGGTTCCTTTTCTCTTCTGGTTGCTTCCAATTCCTGTGTCATTATTACCTGAGTTTCAGTACCTTTTGTATCCCACACTTGGCTTGAAATCCCTCCTTCTCCTTTCATGATCTCCTTTCTAGTTTTGTGATCCCTCCTCCACATGTGCATGCATGGCAGGTTTTAAATCTAGGTTCTGCAGATAAAACAAAACTTGCAGTGCCTGGCTTAGTTTGCTTATCATAATGATTTCCAGCTGCATCAATTTTCTTGAAGATGTCATGATTTAATTTTTCTTGGTAGCTGCATTAAATTTCATAGTGTGGTGGGCATGTACGATATCAAAGTATTTGTTCACCACTTTATCTATATAGGTGTTTTGCATGCATGAATGTCTGCTCACCATATGTGTTCACTGCCTGCAGAGGCCAGAAGGGGACAGTGGAGATTTTTGGCTCTGTTTCTTGGTTATTGTGCACAAGGATCTGCAAGGATAGTGTGGTATGCTGTTGCAGCATCCTCTTATTGTACATCCAAGAGTGGTATAATTGGGTCATATGGTAGTTTGAATTTTTTGAGGAATCTACATATCAAGTTTCATTGTGTCTGTGAAGTTTATACCCCAATAGCAATAAATATTAGTTCCTCTTTCCCTGCAACTTCACCTGCATTTGATGTTATTGCTTAAAAATATTTTTATATCTGTCTGACTATCCGGTGTGTGTGTGCATGTGTGTGTCACAGTGTACATGTGGAGGTCAGAACAAAACATGGAGTTGTTTCTTTTCACTCACCATATGGGTTCCAAGGAAGGAATCCTGATCCCCAGGATTGGTGGCAAGTAAGTACATCCCCCTGAGCCACACTACTTATCTCCATGTGCCATCTTGAGGCCATTTTGGATGGGGTGACATGGAATCTCAAAGCAATTTTAGTTTATATGTTTTTCTGATGGCTAAGGATATGTAAGACTTTTTTTTCAATTATTTATTGACCACTTGTGTTTCTTCTTTTGAGAACTGTCTTTTCAATTAATTGGTCCATTTATTGATCAGATGAACAAGATGAACTGAACTTCAGTGGTTGTGGGAGCATTTCGATTGGCTAATTACACTTAGGAAATTGTACAGGAGGTCAGTGATGCACACAACAGAGTCTTGTTAGTATGCACACAGCCTTCAGGCCTTTAGAAAACAGCAACTTCTCAATTCCTGGAAAATGATATCAATATTCTCAAAGTAACCATGGTAATTAGAAAACAATTTTGGAAGGGTTACATTAAAGGACAGTTTCCTAGAGATTTCTAATTTCATCGTTGCTCCTGTGTTCTGGGTACAGAAAAAAACAGGCTCTAATGAACCTTATATTAAAATAAGCCACACAATTCTGGTTTAAAAATGCAAAGTAAAGAACTTTTTAGGGCAATGTAAATGTTCTATATCTCATTTGATATGGTGAGTACATCGGTTACACAAAAATAAAAGTCTTTTATCCAAATAAATGCTATATCTGCACACTATGAAAATTATATATAGAATATATATAGTGTGATAATACACAACATACACATACATGAAAAAGAGATACACACAACACACACACATACACAGAAAGGGGGGAATTACTAAGTGGCTTAGGAATGGGATAATTTGTACCAATGGGATTCAATGGGATTCTTGTTCTGTCTCTCTAAGAAAGAAAACAATCTCCTCTCCCACTGGACATAGTAAAGAAGCATTCTGGTCCAATTTTCTGACAGCCATTATATATTCAACAGGGCTGAAAATATCCCCAGTGCCACTGATAGAGGGATAATGGATAAGAGATAAAGACAATAAGGTCCTTGAAATAATGTAAAAGCAATGTAAAAGTACAATGTAAACAATAATAGTTTATTGTTATTATATTTATTTGTGTGGAGGTGTACATGTGTGTATGAGCATGCATGCCAGGGTGTGGACTGTAGTCCTAGGTTTCTAACTCCGGTCTTCAGGTTTGGCAGAGTGGGTCCTTACCGACTGGGCCATTTCTTTGAGTCTTAAATCCATTTGCAAACCATCCAGTCCCAGAGCCTACACATCTTTACAGTTTTTGTTATAAGGTATTTTTAAATGTTTTAACTTTCACTATGTGCATAGGTACATCTCTATGGGTGGAGTCTGTGCATGTGAGTGCAGAGCCAATGGAGGCTGGAAGAAGGTGTGAGATCCTCTGTACCTGGACCCTCAGGGGTCGTGAGCCACCCAATGTGGGTGCTGGGAAGAGCAGTCCATGTTGTTAACTGCTGAGCTGTCTCTCAAGCCCCAGGATATTTCATTTTTAATTGAACCACTGTAGATTTTTGTTTAAACTCCCAGCATCTTAACTGTGTAAGCTCTTCTGATCCATTCCAGGAAAATGATAATGTCTATTGGACTGGACAGGCTGTGTGTGTACCTGCCTTATTCAGAGCCTCCGTCCTGCTCATACACCATGGTCTGCTTCCTCAGAAGCCTCTTTACTTAGCTTGATTTGATGATTAATTTAGTAGAAGGACACCTGTCATTTTGCTTAATGTATCTCTTTTCTTAATTTTACAGTAGTTGGTGAATCTCTGGAATCACCTTTAATTAAATTACCCACAGACTTTCCAGAGCATGATTTAATCCACTGCTCCAGGCTAATTATTCTTCAATAATGATGTTCTGTGATAAGAGAAAAATACAACCTGAAAGCCATCTTATACAATGGCCTGAACTTAGGGGCTGTGCAGCTAGTGTGGGCTGGGATTTGCTCCCTGCTCAACTAACGATTTGGAAAACATGTTTATATTGGACCATAGTCTACGAGGTCTGTAAGGTATGTAATGTGTGTTTGCATCTGGCTCCAAGGTCACTACTGTTGCTTGAATCTTATTTGACAGCACTGGGGTTCAGAAAAGAGAAGGACCTGACAGGGACATTTATTGAGGACAAAATCCTCCAAGTCTGAGGATTAAAACATGAAGTGTGCCCATTGCAGAAGTCACCAATTAGGGACCCTAGTGACGTCAGGGAGAAAGAGAGCACATTACCCTGGAATTTAAGATTCGAAGGCAGTACCAGTGGTTGCCTCCCAGGTGTGAACAGCTGTGCTTTATTTTAACTTTCTACTTACTTCCCCATTAGGCTCTCAGGAAGAGGGTAGGTGATCCTTTTCCACCCCTTAGTTGGGAAGAACACAGACGGTTGAGAGACGCTTCCAGAACACTTTGGGTCAGCAGGTAAGCACTGAGGGACTAGGTAACTCCAGCTCACGCCAAAGTCAGTAGAAAACTGCACATGAATTTGATTCTGGGCAATTTTTTCAGGCACTCTGCATCCAACAGAGATCTAATAAACAGAAAATGAAGATTGTCAAGGCATTAAAACCACATTACAGATTTCAGGACCAAAGAATTGGCAGTAAGAAAGGCCCAGATCCCTTGATAGCTACCACCTGTATTTTCAATATCTGCCACCTGTATTTTCAGGTTCATTATTTGTTTTGCTGATGGACAGGGGCCACTGCCATGGTTGCCCAAGGTGACAAACTGTAGAAAGTGCCAAGTACATTGTGTAAGGACTTGGGAGAGAAGCTGGAAGCCCCGCCTCCACCACACTGGCTGGTTTCCTTGGAAGGCCTGGGCCCACACTTACAAATTGTTTTGTTAATGGTCTGGCACTTATGTTTGGCAGAACAGCTGACCAAAAAGGATTGCTAACAGCCTTGCTCACTTTACCATTTTGTCATATAATTTATAACTCTCAATAAATCATTTTCACTGACAAGCAAGATACAGTGGAACCCGATAAAAGAAACACAGGCCTTTAAAGTGGTGACAGCCATAGTATGGCAACTCTGCAAACACAGGTAGACAAATTCAGGTAGACAGGATACAGCAGAATAATCCAGACCAAAATGTCATCCAACGCTCTTCCTGGCATGGGTTCTAATCATGCTGTCCTAGTCTGTAAGTTTTGTTCTACAGAAACATCTGAATGTCTTTCTAGAAGTAGAAATAACTATTACAATGGCTTTAGTCTCATAAGGAAATAATTTAGCTTTTGTTTCGTTGTTGTTGGACAGAGTTTTACCATGTAGCCTTCACTGGCCTGCAACTCACTATGTAGACTAGCTATCCTTGAACTCCCAGAGATCTGCTTCAGTTTCTGCCTCCAGAGTGCCTGGATTGAAGGTGGGCACCACCCCACCCAGCCAACTTACTTTCTATATTGTGACTTAGTAAGTTGCAATCAATATCTTACATACAGTTTTAAACCAGTATTTTGTTCTATAAATGTATAATCCTGATTGTAAATATTTGCTTTTATATGAAGTTCAAAATTTTACCCTGAAATAGCATAGATATACAATATTTTTTAATCATTAGACAATAATTGAGTTGTATATTACCTTAACATTAAGTTTTATCTTTCAAAGCATATATTAAATCAGTGAAATCTTAGAAAACCTTTATCTTTATGATGGCTGATTAGGTTGCTAATGTATGGTTACTTTTGTGATTGAGACCATGGTAATTTCACCTTGAACTGCATGATCCAGTTCTCAGTGGGAGTCAGGTCGTGTGTCACTGCATATACCTCTCGTCCATCATGGCTGCCACAGAGCATGACACCATCTGGGGAGTCACAGAATCTTTCCACTGTACAGTCATCATGAAAGAGCCAATTCTCATTCACTGAAAAAAAAAAGGTAAAAAAATTGGATGATGGATTTAATATGAACTTAAAGTAAATACTCACAGTAATCAAGTCCCAGAATTAAGTAGAAATCTCTTTTATATACAATGTCATATAAAATAAAAACTAATATAAACATTTTATAACATGAATATTGACTGACAGATACCTAGTGCATTTTTTGAGGAGTAGAATGGTTAAGACAAGATCTTACTTTATAGGTCAGGCTGGCTTCAAACTCAGGACTGATCCTCCTATTTTAATCTCTTGGATGTTAGATTACAAGCATGTACTACCATGCACAGCTCCTCAATGTATTGTAATATAAAATGCATGTCATCCACATATCCATCCATCCATCTATCCATCATCCACCATCTACCCATCCATCATCCATCCATCTATCCATCCATACATACATTCATCATCCATCCACTCATCCATCATCCATCCATCCATCCATCCA